GCCTCCTGGCTGTATCTCTACCGCAATGCTCGCCTTGGTACGCTTTCCTCGATGTCGCCTCCTGGGTTGAATCCCTCTCCTGTGCTCCCGCTCGATCGCTGCCGTTGATGTCGGGTATTTCACGTGATCCTCGGACCTCGGACAGACACAGCAGGGTTCTCGGCGTGCACGCCTTTAACACCCGTGCCGTTCAACTGCGCGACCTTCGCGGCTTGTCGCACCAGAACGCAACTCTCGCCACGAGACGGATCAAGCGTACGCTGGATCACGGTCTGGTAGACTCTACAGTGTGCGTCTGGTTCTTGACTTTTCCCCACCGAGGACACGTTTACTCGATTAAGGACTCGTATGTGTAGACATAGTCAGGACCCGCCAGGCAATACGCCGGGCTCAATGTCTCCAACTAGTGGTCGTCACAGGCGCCTAATTCGAGTTGTGTGCTGCCTAAAGGACCTCAGCTACCTGTGTCTCAATTCGGAGACTTGCAACTTACAGTCCCGAATGTCTCGACGTAGCAATCTCGCTCCTTGTAGACTCCTTGCGTGGGATCCTTGCGTCCTTCGTCCGCGCCGTTGATCCTTTCTCCTCTTGTCCTTCGAGTTCGTCCTCGCTTGAATCCTTGCTTGTATCCTTGATTGACTTCGCGCTGCCTGATGTATACTTGTGTTTCACTTCTATTTGACTGATCCCGGCTGAACTGCGGGCCCCGCTTATATAGGGCCCCCTGGTCCCGTTAATCCTCGGCGTCTCCTTTTCATCCGGGTCCAAGGTCCAGCGGATATCCCGTTACTTCTTCGGTTGGATCGCGTGACCGGGTCCAAGGTCCACCGCGATCCCGTTGCTTCTTTGATTGGATCGCGTGACCGGGTCCAAGGTCCACCGCGATCCCATTACTCCTTTGGCTGGATCGCGTGACCGGGTCCAAGGTCCACCGCGGCCACGCTATCCTTTTATCCAGCCCGTGATTATTTGTGGGGAGTTATCCAACTCCTCACAAAGTATTATCGTTAGAGGTCACTTATCGAGGAACAACAAAGCGCATTACTTTTTATATCGTCCCGTCACTCGTTCAGTCGTTGTACTTAGGCATTGATTTTTGGACCGCATTTGATATGCTACCTTCGGGTTTGTCAGTTAAAGACGGTATTTCCAGTCTATCAGGTCAGGAGTTAGAGTCCGCCGATGTTGTTTGTACCACGCAAAAGACATTAAGCAGTGATAGATATTGGCTCTCCAAGCATTTATCGCACGTTGATAAATTACACCTCCCAAGTGCGATTTTAGCGGTGGGGACTTGTAGAGAGGGCTTGTTCGAGCTCCCATACGCAAAGTAGGCAGTTTTTTTGTTGGTCGCAGATTGATATTTTGCATAAATATTTATGTTGATATCATATTAAAACACAAAGTACCTCAAAACAAAAATGCAGCCCTTAAGATCTAGTGACGCCATCTAGGGTTGAGACTAGAATATGACCGACTGACAGCTTGAGGATCAGCTGACCCTTTTGACAAATCGTCTATCAGTGTCATTTTTTCTTCGAGAGATAGGCTTATATTCGGCTTCCGCTTACTTAAAACTCCTACAGCACCAACCCAATTCTTTTCAATTTGACCGCCCACGAGATCAGTCGTCTCAGTTTTTTACAACGGAGTTGTTTTCCAAAATTTTAAAGGAGTTGGAATTGAGCCGGAATAGGGAGGAGGCAATTTTAAAGGAGTCGGAATTGAGCCGGAAAAGGGAGGAGCCAATTTTGAGGAAGTTGGACGACAACCGAAAGCTGATTGAAACGTTGACGGAAGAGGTTAAAATGCTTCGCAGCGAAGTTCGCGAACTAAAAACTTCCACCGTCGTCGAGCCGCAAAGCCAACTTAACACTTTCCCCGTCGTCGAGCCGCAAAGCGAATTTTTGGACCCTTTGCCTTTAAATCCCTTTGCGAATTGCAAGAATTCGACAACAAATTATGTATTGATGAACAATTGCGAGCAGAACTGGTAAATTATTTAAATTATATATTCCGTGACAATAAAAAACTGTTTTAACCTTCTTTCAGAAATCAAAGCTTAATGGGATCGGCGCGTCGGATTTTCATCGTTCACTAGACTGGCCATTAAGTCAGTAATAGACGACAATTTGGCTATACATATATCTTGGCGAGGGACGCGTGATAAACCAAGTATTCAGTCTTTCACCACATGTAGCATTGTAATATGTAGGAATACCCCTATTCCTAAGACAAAAATACCATTTAAGTATTTATCCTTTTTCTAGTATTTTAAGTCATTAATGAAAACATAAGACGGACACACTTTTGATCTGTCTCTTTTCCGGTTGGCTGGTGATGGTGTTGCAAGTGTGAAAGAAATAACTCCAAATTAAAATCAAAGAAAACCAAATTAATCCTGCGTTATAATTTATTTAAAGTGAAGTGTGAACCAGGGAATAAATCAGGGAAGATAAAAAATCCAATAGGTTATGGGCCCAGGCCAAATGTTTATACAAAATTAAAGTGCAGAAAAAGTTTCTTTTATATCCGAACACAAACACGTGAATACATATGCAAAATGGACAAAACGAAGCGAAACATCAAACCTTTCGACGGCAATAAATATTCTGTGTGGAAGATTCGAGCAGCACTTCTTGCTGAGCAAGACATATTAAAAGTGATTGATGGTGAGATTCCTGATGAAACAGATGAAAGTTGGGTAAAAGCAGAGAGGAGCGCTAAAAGCACATTGATCGAACATTTGAGTGATTCTTTTCTAAATTTCGCGGCAAACAACAACACAGCTCGCGAAATTCTAAGAAGTCTAGATTCCGTGTATGAAAGAAAAAGTCTCGCGTCGCAATTGTCTGTGCGCAAACGGTTATTGTCGCTCAAAGTTAAGAGTTAGATGGCACTAGTGGACCATTTCATTATTTTCGATGAACTAGTTAGCGAACTATTAGCGTCAGGAGCTAAAGTAAACGAAATGGATCAAATTTCTCATTTATTACTCACATTGCCAGCATCATATGACGGGGTAATAACAGCTATTGAGACACTTTCAGAAGAAAATATTACATTAGCTTTTGTAAAGAATCGTTTACTAGACCATGAAATTAAAATGAAAAACGCTAACAACGAGACTAGCAAAAAGGTTATGCAGGTTGAGGCTAAAAATAATAACAATTACCAAAACAATTATAAAAATTATTATAAAAACGATAATAAATATAAATTTAAAACCAAAAATTATAATACAAATAATAATAACCGCAACCCATATATTGGGAAATATAAGCAGAATAATATAAAATGTCACCACTGTGGAAAGCTGGGACACATGAAAACAGATTGTTATGGCTATAAAAGATAAATAAATAATGAAAATAATAAAGAAAATAATAAACAAGCGCACACTGCAACAACCAAGCCAGGCTTCGCGTTCATGCTAAAAAGTGTAAATAAAACGAATAATAATTTAAACGCGAACGTGTGCTTTATTCTTGACACGGGTGCTACTGACCACCTCATAAACGATGAGGCTTTATTTGTGGACCATGCTGACCTGGAAACTCTGATATAGATTGCCGTTGCCAAGCATGAAGAGTATATCTTTGCAACAAAGCGTGGAATCGTCCGTCTGGAAAGCAGAGAAGTTGCAGAAAATCTGATCTCGGTAAAACGACTACCAGAGGCTGAAGTGACAGTCGTGTTCGACGAAAATGGAATGAAGTTGATAAAAAATGGTGTTACTATTGCTAAAAAAAATCAGGTACGTACAATATGCCAGTTATTGAATTTAAAGCATATAATGTTTATGCCAAAAATAAGAATTTGTATAAATTATGGCACGAGAGGTTGGGAAATGTAAGCAAAGGGAAAATGTTAGAAATAAAACGAAACAATTTATTTAGTGATAATAGTCTTCGTGATAGTGTTAATGCTACGGACGATTACACAATAGACTTTTTTCTATATTATCCTCTTCTGAATCTCTGCAGCTCCTTAAGCAATTAGTATTAACATATCTGACACAAAATTAGATTGTTGAATTTAAAATTAAAATTTCTTTCGTTTTTAATTTTTTTCCTTCCTTCTTTTAACATCGCGTCAAATTTTCCGCGAATCGTGCCGTACGATATACGGCTGTCGCCCCTCGGTCGGTTGGGCGGGTGGTGGGCCGTGGGACTACGCGCGTTATAAAAAACCAAAAAAATACTATGTAATTTTTATAGATAAATTTACTCATTATTGTGCCACTTACTTAATAAAACATAAATCGGATGTGTTTATAATGTTTAAAGATTTCGTGGCAGAAAGTGAAGCACACTTTAATCTTAAAGTTGTTAATCTATACATTGACAATGGTAGGGAATATTTGTCTAGTGATATGGGTGAGTTCTGTGTTCAGAAAGGAATAAGTTACCATTTGACTGTACCATCAACTCCACAGTTAAATGGAGTTTCAGAACGAATGATCATAACAATTACTGAAAAGGCTCTTGCCATAGGCAATGGTGCAAAGTTAGATAAATCTTTTTGGGGTGAAGCTGTGTTGACAGCAACGTATATAATAAAAAGGATTCCAAGTAGGATACTTGCAGATCGCGCAACAACGCCTTATGAGATGTGGCATAATAGAAAACCGATTTTGAAATATCTAAAAATATTTGGTTCGACTGTGTATGTTAGTAAAATTAGACAACGCAAATTTGACGATAAATCATTTAAAACTATATTTGTGGAATACGAACCAAACGGTTTAAAATTATGGGATATCGAAAATGAAAAATCAATGTGCATCAAGTTAGTAGAACAACTTTGAAATTTACATTTTTCTTTCTCATAATTTGCCGTTAATTATCCATAAATTATTCGTGAAAGAAAAAATCTTTTAAAAAAAGGTAAGTGATTATCGGAATAAACTCTATTTCTAAAATCATTATTAGACATAATAGTTCCCACACTGTCAGAATATGTTGTAACATTATTATTAAAATGTTTTGAATTTCAGAATGGACCACCACGAAAATTGTCCTCAATGGATCAAGATCGAGCAGCGACTGAATAACTTGGAAAGTAAGTTTTTTACAGCTAACATGAACGTGCGCAAGAGGAAATTTCCTATTATCTCATTCGAAGAGCTCGACCAATTGGAGAACGATGCCGAAGCCAATCAAGAAGCTTTGGTAAGTACTCACTAAATTTTTAATAAGTTTCAATAGCCCTGTGTTTCCATGCTTGTTACTATGTAATTAGATTTATTTAATTTATGCAGTTTTAAATATATTATGTTTTTAAATAATTTTATGGTTTATTTTTTGCAGATAACCTTATTCAAAAATATGCTCGGTGGGGAAGGCGTGGTAGCAGGTCTACGCCGTCTTATTTCGGATGACGTATTATACAAGATGAATTACTCTGGAAAAATGGGACAAGTCGGACTTACAAAATTTTCTAATTTTACAAATGTTCTATATGGTAATTATACACATTTTTCTAAATTCTCTGTTTAAAATATATTTTTTCCCGTTACTATTTATATATTTATTATTTGTATTAATATGCAATGTTTTAATATATTTTCAGAGTCACTCAGAAACGAGCATTATAGCTATCGACAGTTCCAGGATGACTTCCGCACCTCGTTCACAAAGGCGAAGAACAAAAAATACAAAAATTCATATAAAAAAAAGAAAACAGATTTTCAGGACTAATAAAAAATTTAGACCTGAAATTTTCTGGACTAAATTTTTATAAGTCCTGAAAATTTGTTTTTCTTATTTTTCATATGCATTTTTATTCGAATCAATAAAAATAGACCTCTGCTGCTAAGAGCATAAAAGCTTTAATAAATAATAATGCATGGACAAAATTAAAAAGTATTGTTTTTGAAAATTAGGGAGGGATTGGTGGAATATCACTATTGCAATTGAATGCAAAAACCAGTGGATTTTGGCCTGCGTAAAGCAGCAGGATTTCCACTGGTTTTTTCAGTACAAAAACCAGTGGATTTTGGCCTGCGTAAAGCAGTAGGATTTCCACTGGTTTTTTCAGTACAAAAACCAGTGGATTTTGGCCTGCGTAAAGCAGTAGGATTTCCACTGGTTTTTTCAGTACAAAAACCAGTGGATTTTGGCCTGCGTAAAGCAGTAGGATTTCCACTGGTTTTTTCAGTACAAAAACCAGTGGATTTCCACTGGTTTTTTCAGGACAAAAACCAGTGGATTTTGCCCTGCTTTCGGCAGCTGTAGATCCAGTGGATTTTGGCCTGCGTAAAGCAGTAGGATTTCCACTGGTTTTTGGCCTGCCGTCAGCAGGCAGAGGTCCACTGGTTTCTTCAGTACAAAAACCAGTGGATTTCCACATAGAAACCTCCTTCACCCCTGTGAAGGAAAACCTGTGTCACCCCGTGTATTTTGAAAGGAGAGATGAAAGAAATGTAAGGGGTGAATGAGGTTTTGCCCTTCCGCTTGTATGAAGAAACCACTGGAAAAAAGCATATTTTCCACAGGTTTTTTCCCGCTGGGTTACTCCATAAAGTAATAACTACCCTGCACCTTACTTACTTACCTTTTTCGTAACACCTGTTTAGAGTAGACTTCTGCATGAATGCACTCATTTGTGGCATAACAGATCTGTACAGTAGTGTAGTGTTTTCAAAAACACTGCACTCATTCTTTACTGTACAGTATACTCTATAGGTCAGAAGAAGATAGCACAACATTTTTAGTGTGCTCACTTCGAGTGAGTTTAGTATATGGTTGTACTCTTCGTAAGGAGTACTATATTTGTCCTTTGTTAAACACGCTGTACAGCTCGTATGTTGACTGTGAACAATTGTGCAGATGAGTGCAGTAATTTTCTGTTGCCAAAAATTTAATTTGGAAAAAATGGTAAAAAATTGCCACCACTGAAGACATGGTAAACAAAATAATGTTCCCTCATTACCATTTTAATAACTTAAATATAGATTCTTTAATAACATAAAATAATTATTATAATTAGTTAACATTTAAATATGAATAATTTCTAAATTCTTTATTTTATAATAAATACATTTAAAACGAAAAAACAAATCAATTTTTTAATCAGACATACATACACACGAGAACTATACATATATGTGTGTATGTACCAGTCAGGAAGTTTCACTCACTGTACAGTAAGTCAACTGCACACCAAAACTTTGTACAGTGCGTTGACTACTGCACACCAATTTTGCTGTCCTCATTAACAACTGTACAACTCTGGAATGAGTGAGACTACTGTCATTCAAAACAGACAATACTACCCTATTCACTCACACCCAAATATACTGTGCACAAAAAATAGTGTGCCCACTTTTGGAATGAGTGATTCATTTGTCGTTTTGGATGCATTCATGCAGAAGTCTAGTTTAGACCTCTTTGTATTCCTAACTTGGGTATAAAGGTATAAATGACTTACCTAACCTACTACAAAGCTACCTGCCAGGTAAAAAGGAATACAAAATAACTAAATATTTAACCCTTTGGTTACTAGTAGACCTCTTAGGTTTGAACCTTGCAGGATTGATATTTTTTGATATTTCAGAATGGATCACCACGAACATTGTCCACAGTTAATCCAGATCGAGCAAAATCTCAATAACTTGGAAAGTAAGTTTTTTATTTAAATTTATTTTTAAATTTTTCAAGATCAAACAAATGTTTTTTTTTTTGAATTTATAATAGATCTGGTTAACTGTCTAAGTAAGGCGCTCGCAAGAAGTAAAATCTTTAGACAGCTTTTTGGAAAACCTGGACACAGATGCTAGCTCTAATTAGTCGCTGTGGCGTATCACGAAACGGTACAAGGCTCAGCCCACCACAAAAACAGCTATTAGAAACCCATCAGGTGGCTGGTGCCGTACGAGTCAAGAGAAAACTGAAGCCTTCGCGAACAACCTAGAACAACTTTTTAAGCCTTACGATTATTCGCCTGTAAGCATACGACAACAGGACGATTCGACTGTTACCTGATCAGGCCTTGGAGTTCCTGGTGTCGCTATTCAACAGCGTACTAACTGTTGGATACTTTCCGAAAGCGTGGAAATCGGCAAATATAATTATGATCCCAAAACCAGGAAAATAGCCGACTGACGTGGACTCTTACAGGCCGATTAGTCTTCTACCATCCCTGGGAAAAATCATGGAAAGTCTGATCCTGAATAGGCTACTCACCTACGAGAATGTCACCAGTGCGATTCCAGAATTCCAGTTCGGCTTTCGTCTTGAACATGGAACTCCAGAGCAGTTCCACAGAGTTGTCAACTTTGCTTTAGAGGCGTTAGAGAAGAAGGAATATGCAGTTGCTGCCTTCCTTGACATCCAGCAGGCTTTCGACAGAATGTGGCACCCTGGGCTCCTGTACAAAGCCAAAAGTCTGTTTACGCCGCAGCTATTCCAGCTCGTAAAAAGCTTTCTGGAAGAACGCACTTTCCACGTATCTGCAGGTGGGTTCAAGTCGTCCACCAAACCGATCTCTGCCGGTGTTTCCCAAGGTAGCGTACTCGGCCCTACTCTATACTCCATCTATACTTCAGATATGCCCACGCAAACTCCAATCACTGAAGTTGAAGAGCAAGACGTGCTAATTGCGACCTACGCTGATGACACAGCTGTTATCACAAAAAGCCAAAGCATTTTGGCTGCCACATTTGCATTACAGGAGTATCTGGACGCATTTCACCAATGGGCCATGGACTGGAACATACGAGTAAACGCAGACATATGTGCCAATGTGACGTTTACCAATCTCCGGAGTAGCTGCCCTGGAGTCAACCTCAACGGTAGCCCAATCAGAGCCGTTTCTGCTTACAAGTACCTCGGTGTCACTTTGGATAAAAAACTGACTTTTGGCAATCACATAACGTGTATTCAACACGCTTTCGGCTAAGTTGCTCGTGGCTTGGCTTCTCGCTCCACAAATTTATAAGTCCATATTAGCGCCAAGTCTCTTCTACGGACTCCAGGTTTATGGCATCGCTGCAAGATCTAACCTGAAGAAAATACGGATTCTGCAAGCGAAGACACTTCGAAGGATCTCCGGAGCTCCGTGGTTTATGAGAAGCAGAGACATCGAACGAGACCTCAAAGTACCCAAACTTGGTGACAAACTGCAGGAATTGGCTCGAAAATATATGGAAAGGCTTAATGAACACCCGAACAGCCTAGCCAAAAAACTTGGCTCCGCTGCTATTAACAGCGCCGAACCAAGCAACCGAGTCAAAAGAAGACTCAAACGGCATCACCCTCAAGACCTACCGGACCGGATTTTGACTTAGCTAATTGACCACCCGCATTATTATTTAAAAAAAAAAAAAAAAAAACTTTAACTTACTTCCTGCCCTAATTAACTCTTAGACATAGTTTTGTATTATATTGTATATAAAGATTAGATTAAGCTGCCAGTTTGGTAACAGTGTGCTAATCATTGAATACAATTTTACATTTATAAAAGTAAAAAAAAAAAAAAAAAAAAAAAAAATAGATCTGGGTGCAAAGATTCTGGCCCACGTTTCAGTATTAACAAAAAACATGAACGTGGGCAGACGAAAATTTCCGATTAGTTCATTCCCTGGATGATCGAGCTCCCGTTGCGCGGCTTGATGACCGTCGATGTCTGCCACTCCTCGAAAAATAAGAACAAGTCCTACGGAGCCCTTGTGGCCACCATGGACATGAAGTGCTCGACCCGCTACTTCTCCTCGGTGACCGAGCATATGAAGGGCCAAGAGTTGTCCAACCAGATGTCACTGAACATGACCGGTGCCCTTAAGGCCTACTGCGAAAATCATGGCACCTTGCCAGATCGCATCCTCTTTTACCGCGACGGAGTTGGCGATGGCCAGCTTCATCAGGTGGTTAACACTGAGGTCAAGTTCCTGAAAGCTAAACTGGACGAAATCTACAAGTCTGCCGGCAAGGAGCAGGGTTGTCGCATGGCATTCATCGTCGTGTCCAAGCGCATCAACATATTTCAGAATGGATCACCACGAACATTGTCCACAGTTAATCCAGATCGAGCAAAATCTCAATAACTTGGAAAGTAAGTTTTTTATTTAAATTTATTTTTAAATTTTTCAAGATCAAACAAATGTTTTTTTTTTTTGAATTTATAATAGATCTGGTTAACTGTCTAAGTAAGGCGCTCGCAAGAAGTAAAATCTTTAGAGAGCTTTTTGGAAAACCTGGACACAGATGCTAGCTCTAATTACTCGCTGTGGCGTATCACGAAACGGTACAAGGCTCAGCCCACCACAAAAACAGCTATTAGAAACCCATCAGGTGGCTGGTGCCGTACGAGTCAAGAGAAAACTGAAGCCTTCGCGAACAACCTAGAACAACGTTTCAAGCCTTACGTGGTTAACACTGAGGTCAAGTTCCTGAAAGCTAAACTGGACGAAATCTACAAGTCTGCCGGCAAGGAGCAGGGTTGTCGCATGGCATTCATCGTCGTGTCCAAGCGCATCAACACGCGTTACTTCGTGAACCAGCGCAATCCACGTCCAGGAACTGTGGTGGATGTTATCACCTTGCCGGAGCGTTACGACTTCTTCCTGGTGTCACAGGCTGTTCAGCAGGGAACGGTGTCGCCCACCAGCTACAACGTAATAGCCGACAACATTGGACTGAACGCCAATAAGCTGCAAGTCCTCATCTACAAAATGACCCACATGTATTAATGTTGAGGTTGATCAACAAATGTTAAATTTATTTGTTGAAAATTTTCCCATTGTCTTCGGCGAAAACAGTGTTTCTTACAATATTCATGGCCTACTCCATGTAAAAGAGACTGTAAATCAAATCGGAAATCCGATTGCAGGTTTCTCTTACGCGTTTGAGAACTATTTGCAGTTATTAAAAAAAGTGGTCCGAAAGCCAACAAATATTCTAGAACGAATTTATAGAAGAACGGTAGAGGAAACGTATGTAGCTCCAGAAAGGGAAGAAATTAAATTAGAAGGCAGGTTTCTTAAAATTAAAGATTCTAAACTTAGCGATAGGAAATGAATTGAATTGGAAATGAATTGGTGAATTTATGAAGGGCATTAAGGCCAAAACCGAAGTAGATTTATTATTAAATATAAAAAAATATTCTGGCAACACTAAACGGATGCCCAGTCCAACCCCCAGGCGAAGACCTAAGAATGATTGAATGAGCCGCCGTGAGCGTGTTTATATAGGGTCCGACGACCTCAGTGTGACCAACCGTTTGCGTTGTCTATTTGCCCAATACTAACAGAGTATTAGTATTTTTTATCGTTGTTTATATTTAACTTTTTTTTAGAAATTCGAAAAATACCAATTCGTTGCCAACGTTCTTTGCAGGGCCAACCAACAGGCACGGTACCGCAAATAAGAGGAAATTATTAAGAAGTACATCAGTTGCACTGAAGCGTGGCCGCCTTTCCAACCCAAGTTTCAATCCAGAAATAGCAAATTAGTCGCAATGCTTTCAAAATTAGTATATCCCTTCCAAAGGTTGTTTCAACATTCCCGTTATCTCAAAAGAAAGGAAAACAAAATATCAACAAAGTATGTCCGTTGGTTTTTGAGCAAACTGCTTTACAGTGGAGGGGTTTTAAAGGGTCAAAGCAATGCCAACGATTCCGGAATCAAAACCACAAGCCTCTGGGGCATGAACCATATTATCGAAAAATACCAATTGGTCGCTAACGTTTTTTATAAGTTGTAACAAAAGTCACACATAAGAGGAAGTGAACTAGAAAAAAAAGCCGAGATAGCTCGACTCTTTGAGGCCAATCGTCCCGGCAACAGCGCCTTCTTGGCAAGAAATAGGCAGGCTAATCAGTCGGAATTTGCTGGGTTTTCAAGGAGAAGCTAGATCAACTCCTGGAAGTCTTGGGATTTGGTGCATAGACCAGACAAAGTCGGAAATATTATAAATAGCTGGAAGTTGCGATTCAACAGAAATCGAGAGGGGATTAGTGTTGACAGCTTTATTTACCGGGTGGAAGTTCTTAGGCATCAGACGCTGGAAGGAAATTTTGTACTTCTGTGCAACAAGACTAGCATTTGGTTCGAGGGTTTTTACTGCGAGTTTTACTAGCGATTTTACAAGTCGTCTAGAGAATGGCGTTATGATGTTCTTTGCTTTGCCCTGCGGAAGCAATTTAGATACACTCGGACATATGTTGACATACATATGTGAAGCCTGTAAGGAGTTGTAAAACTCCTTACAATTTTGAGTGCAGCGGAGCTGCATGGCAACAGCGGGATGCGCTGTGTGCAGTGGGAAATAGGGAAATAACGGCTCCAAGGACTTTGGACACAATGCTGCGGTGAGTCTCCAGACTTTGGACCCAACAACAGCAAGTCTGCGGACTTCGGACCCGCGCAAAGAGGAGAGACCGTGAATTAACGGTACCGCGGCGGACTTTGTACCCGTTATAACGGTGAAGTCCTTGACTTTGCACCCGTATAACGGTGAAGTCGGCGGACTTTGGACCAGCACAAAAGGGAAGGACCGTGAACTAACGGGACTGGTCCTGCACTTTGGACCCGATCACGCCACCAAGGAAGGGAAATTGCGGGACCAGGATGGCGTATAAAAGGAGAAAGCGCGCACATTTCTAGACAGTCAAGTGAAAGTCGTGCAAGAGATCGTACCAACGCGAGTGAAAGCCCAAGTGAACAACAAGTGCCAGGATACCCGGAATCAAGATCGCCGAGTCGAGAAGCCCAACGACGGTTACGTCTACATAAGCTGAGACTGCCAAGCTGAGATCCCGAGGGTACAAGGTAAGTTGTAGGGTGCGTCTACGAGTCTCGAAATCGACGAAGTTGGCGCAGTCTTGGCAGTGGATGTTGTGCGAAAGGTACCCAGCGTCGGTTCCCATGAGAGATTGAGGACCTGCTGAGGGCCAGGCCGACGAAGATCCAGTGGAGTTGTGCGAAAGGTACCCGGTGTCGGTTCACACGAGAGTGGGGACCTGCCGAGGGCCAGGCCGACGAAGTCCCGACCGAACTCCGGGGTGGAGCGAGGAGTGGTGACTGCAGGCATCACTGCTTAGCCCCGCTAGGGAGGTTCTGCTTAACATCCTCCAAGGTTGTGAAAGACTCGTAGCGAGCCTAGTACGCGACCGGTGTCCGAAAGACTCGGCAAGGCGGAGGACGCACGACAGGCGTGCCGCCGTAGAAGTCGACGTGGGAACCACTACCGGCGTCAGCGAGGGCGTAATATTCATCAGCGATCGGAGCCAGAACCACGAATACGTTATTGTAAAGCCACAAGCAATAAACCCAACACATATTCTAAATCTAACCTAACTCTGCGTTCTTCTTTGGTCTCGGGGTCACGCAACAATAAATTTGGTGGGACGAACACACAAACTCAACTGAGCTAGCCGCACGTTTACGTAGCGAGCGGAGACATAAAAAGCAGTTCGTTACATCTGGCGCCCAAGCGTGATACTCAGACCAAAGAGACCAGAATAGGTATAGAATGGGGAAGTCGGAGACTTCGGAGTTTCCGAAGGAAGGGGGAGGACGATACGGAGTATCGATGCAGTGCCTCCCACACACACGTACAATGGAGCGCGAGCGCTAGGAGCAGGAGCGCGAGAAGCGGGTCAGTGGAGGGTAATTTGGAGCGCGAGCGCCAGGAGCGCGAGAAGCGGGTCAGAGGAGGGTACACAGCCGCACGCACAAAACGGACATAGACACTAATAAACCGAGAGAGAGCGGCGGGAAGGATCCCGTTACCGGTACAGATCTAGCAAATAACGGGAGTGGCGGAAGGGAGGAAACCGAGCTGTCATGGGGAACCACGCGGGAAGACTCGGGAGTAGTAAAACTCCTTACAATTTTGAGTGCAGCGGAGCTGCATGGCAACAGCGGGATGCGTTGTGTGCAGTGGGAAATAGGGAAATAACGGCTCCAATGCTGCGGTGAGTCTCCAGACTTTGGACCCAACAACAGCAAGTCTGCGGACTTCGGACCCGCGCAAAGAGGAGAGACCGTGAATTAACGGTACCGCGGCGGACTTTGTACCCGTTATAACGGTGAAGTCCTGGACTTTGCACCCGTATAACGTTGAAGTCGGCGGACTTTGGACCAGCACAAAAGGGAAGGACCGTGAACTAACGGGACTGGTCCTGCACTTTGGACCCGATCACGCCACCAAGGAAGGGAAATTGCGGGACCAGGATGGCGTATAAAAGGAGAAAGCGCGCACATTTCTAGACAGTCAAGTGAAAGTCGTGCAAGAGATCGTACCAACGCGAGTGAAAGCCCAAGTGAACAACAAGTGCCAGGATACCCGGAATCAAGATCGCCGAGTCGAGAAGCCCAACGACGGTTACGTCTACATAAGCTGAGACTGCCAAGCTGAGATCCCGAGGGTACAAGGTAAGTTGTAGGGTGCGTCTACGAGTCTCGAAATCGACGAATTTGGCGCAGTCTTGGCAGTGGATGTTGTGCGAAAGGTACCCAGCGTCGGTTCCCATGAGAGATTGAGGACCTGCTGAGGGCCAGGCCGACGAAGATCCAGTGGAGTTGTGCGAAAGGTACCCGGTGTCGGTTCACACGAGAGTGAGGACCTGCCGAGGGCCAGGCCGACGAAGTCCCGACCGAACTCCGGGGTGGAGCGAAGAGTGGTGACTGCAGGCATCACTGCTTAGCCCCGCTAGGGAGGTTCTGCTTAACATCCTCCAAGGTTGTGAGAGACTCGTAGCGAGCCTAGTACGCGACCGGTGCCCGAAAGACTCGGCAAGGCGGAGGACGCACGACAGGCGTGCCGCCGTAGAAGTCGACGTGGGAACCACTACCGGCGTCAGCGAGGGCGTAATATTCATCAGCGATCGGAGCCAGAACCACGAATACGTTATTGTAAAGCCACAAGCAATAAACCCAACACATATTCTAAATCTAACCTAACTCTGCGTTCTTCTTTGGTCTCGGGGTCACGCAACAATAAATTTGGTGGGACGAACACACAAACTCAACTGAGCTAGCCGCACGTTTACGTAGCGAGCGGAGACATAAAAAGCAGTTCGTTACATCTGGCGCCCAAGCGTGATACTCAGACCAAAGAGACCAGAATAGGTATAGAATGGGGAAGTCGGAGACTTCGGAGTTTCCGAAGGAAGGGGGAGGACGATACGGAGTATCGATGCAGTGCCTCCCACACACACGTACAATGGAGCGCGAGCGCTAGGAGCAGGAGCGCGAGAAGCGGGTCAGTGGAGGGTAATTTGGAGCGCGAGCGCCAGGAGCGCGAGAAGCGGGTCAGAGGAGGGTACACAGCCGCACGCACAAAACGGACATAGACACTAATAAACCGAGAGAGAGCGGCGGGAAGGATCCCGTTACCGGTACAGATCTAGCAAATAACGGGAGTGGCGGAAGGGAGGAAACCGAGCTGTCATGGGGAACCACGCGGGAAGACTCGGGAGTAGTAAAACTCCTTACAATTTTGAGTGCAGCGGAGCTGCATGGCAACAGCGGGATGCGTTGTGTGCAGTGGGAAATAGGGAAATAACGGCTCCAATGCTGCGGTGAGTCTCCAGACTTTGGACCCAACAACAGCAAGTCTGCGGACTTCGGACCCGCGCAAAGAGGAGAGACCGTGAATTAACGGTACCGCGGCGGACTTTGTACCCGTTATAACGGTGAAGTCCTGGACTTTGCACCCGTATAACGTTGAAGTCGGCGGACTTTGGACCAGCACAAAAGG